GATGTGACTCCATTCACCACAACTCTCTGGGCCCGGCCGTCCAGCCAGTTTTTGACCCAGCGCAGAGTACACCTGTCTAAGCCATGAGCTGCCAGCTTCTCTAAGAGAATGCTGTGGGAGACGGTGTCAAAGGCCTTGCTGAAGTCCAGGTAGACCACATCCACAGCCTTTCCCTCATCCACTAGGCGGGTCACCTGGTCATAGAAGGAGATCAGGTTGGTCAAGCAGGACCTGCCTTTCATGAATCCGTGCTGGCTGGGCCTGATCCCCTGATTGTCCCGCTCATGCCTTGTGAGCATGTGAGCATGTAGGTCCATACAGTAGGTCCAGGGAAGAGGCTTTTGCCTCTGCTGCGCACTGGGGAGGCCACAGCTCCATACTGGGACTTTTAGGGTACACAGTACAACACCTACATAACAAACTGGACCGAGTCCTGTACAGGGCTACTGCATTGGTGGGGTGGAGGTCAGGAGAGGCTGGGGGAGCTGGGCTTGCTCAGCTGGAGATGAGGAGGTGAAGGGGGATCCAACAGCATCTCCCCCTTCCCAAAGGGGTCCCGGAGATGCTGGGGCCAGACTCTGCTCAGAGGGGCACAGGGAGAACACCAGAGGCACCAGCACAAACTGCAGATCCCAAGTCAGACTTTCTCTTACCAATTCACAAAGGATGTAGGGTGTTACTTGTCACATCAGTTATGACACAGTGCAAGCCACTTCTCCCCTATCTCTTCCCAGCTGCATTACAGGAAAGGGTATGACTGAGAGGGATAGCTTTGTAACATTGCTATGGTGTTCGCATCACCTGTTAACACAACTGTCCAAGTCTATCCAGGAGTCAGAGAGAGGATAGCAGGTTGATTTTGATCAATTGAATAAGGACCAACACTGCGTTCACTCCCTAAATAAAAAAATGAAAAGAAAATCTCTAATCACTTGCCCTTCCCCTTGATCATAGTGAAAAAGATAAGAATTGATTACATTTAATTCAGAGAAGGACATTTATAAGTGCAAATCTATGTGTGAATTGTATCACCTTACTTGGGAGCAATGTACCTTCCAGCAGATCTAGACGTCACTTAATGATACTGGCTTTAACACAGTTTAAAAAAGTACTTTGTACACTGGACAGTGCACCTGCCACAAGAGGTGGTGAAGGCAAATGGGAACAGCAGGAGGTTTTACACAAAGTTATGGGCAATAGGTCCATAAACAGATACTGAAAGGACTGGGAAGGGTTATTCCTTCCAACAACAGCTGTAGATGTTAGTGACCACAAGGTGATGGACCACCAGGCAGAGAAAACTGGGCTGGACTAACCTCTAGATCTGACCCAGCAAATCAGATTTTGGTCCCCTGTTCTCAGACAAACACAGGCAGTTGGGTTGGAGTTGTTTTCCTTCAGTTGGAGCCATAAACACCATCCACATCCACACTTAGAAAGAGACCCAGCTTTACCAATGTTTTTCCCACACTCACCTTTATAAAAGCAAAGGCTATCAGCCCAGCTGAGGGGTCTCACAGCTCCTGCAGAAGGAGATGGGGAGATGTCAGCCCCTTGGATGGATAGACAGTATGACAGTACAGGGAAGTGATGCCTGGCATGCAGAGGAGACGGAGACGGGGCACACGGCGGCAGCAGAGGACTGATCGTCACTTCTTGCTGGTGCGCGGCACAGCGCTCTTCATCTCTCTTAAGACAACTCTATTTGAACTGTCTGGAAGGTGGAGTAGCAAGAACAGAGAAGACTAAATGTAAACACACTGAGATATTAAACATATAAATCATTAGGCAATACCATAGTTTAGAAAGTACCCAGAATTTGTTTGTGCAGGCCGGCTGTTTAGGTAGAGTCAAATAACTATGGACGTTTAAAGGTGATTTCCATCAATAAAGTGATTTAATTGATAACTCTGAAGAAAGTTTCCAGCTTCACATTTCAATGACCATTTATTTATCTATTACAAGAGAAATAATTAAGTTATTACAAGGGAAGATTGAAGTCTAAAATGGATTTCCAATGGCAGATCTTGTGTTTTAGAAATGATGATGTGCCAGACAGAGCTCTACAACCCTTTGTTATATGATGTTATGGACAGAGCTGTTAAATGTGAGCTGGAGATTAAATTCCAGGCAACAGTCTAAAAACATCTGTACCGGGTCTGGCTGGGATGGAGTTAACTTTCTTCACAGCACAGGGATGGGACACAGCCAATTGGCCAAAGCAATGCTCCATACCATACAATGTCATGCTCAGCAATAAAAACTGGAGAGGGGGGTGTTGTCTTCCAGGGTAGCTGTCACTTGAAGACTGGCTGGGCATTGGTCTGCTCATGGGAGGTGGTGAGTGATTGCCTTGGCATCATTTGATTTTATTCTCTTTCCTTCACTTACTAAACTGTCTCTCTCTCAACCCAGTTTTCTTGCTTTTGCTCTTCCTATTCCCTCCACCTGTCCCACTTGGGGGTGGGGGGTGGAGTGAGCGAGTAGCTGTGTGGGTGCTTAGCTGTTGGCTGGGGTCAACCCACCACAAAATCCTTGTTCTTCACACCCTTACAGGAAAGTACAAAGAGTGCCTAAGCATCCTATCCTACATACACACTGCAGGCAGGGATAGTTATCCTTCTCCATTACCCATGTCAGGGCTGTGGTTGTCTTCTGCCCTGCCTTCCTGGATTGTTTTGCTTTGGAAATCACAGTGCAGGCTCAAGAGGGAAAGATGTCTTCTGGCTGTCTACCTGGAGTGGACCTGAGATGTGTCCAAGACATGCACTTAGATTTGGCAATTGGTCACACTCTTTAAACATAGCCATAGTAGAACATTGGTCCATCATTTAGAGATTTGGAGGTTAAGAGTGTCTTGCTTTTAGGGTACAGAAGCCACACTTCACTGAGTAAGACACCTTTGACTTTCACTTTCCGAGGAAACAGATAACGGAA